TCCCCCCCCCCCCCCCCCCCCCCCCACCATACCCCCTCCCCCTCCCCAAAACGCTCGTATATTCCCACTTTACCTAACTTGACTTTGCCTATATTTTCGAAAAAATCATGATATTCGAGTATTTTAATTTGATTCGCTCACATTCGCGATTTAATTTATGTACGCCCGACATCGTATCAACTTGTTGCTTTACTATTGTAGTACAGCAGCATTGTAAATAGGAGCCTTTTAATGAACGGGTACGTCTATTAAATTAACGCAAGTGTCTGCCAATATCATATAAAACGGTATTTAAGTACAAAATTTATTTAATCGGAAAATAACAGATAAAAAATAACAGATTAATATTATAATATGCTATTATGAAGAGATAATATCCGTCTTGAGGAAGAAAGAGAGTATTTAATTTTAAGACTTTAAATTTGAAAACGACGGCTAAGAAAAATAATAACCTATCGATAATTTGAAAATGCTCTCAGCGAGTATAACAAACGTTACATTTAAACTTTTTTATCTTTTCTTTTATCTTTCCTTTTTTTTTTTTCTTTTTTCTTTTTTTTTCTTTTTTTCGTGTAATCGAATGAAATTACAGTGTAAAATTTTTTCTCAAAGTAACTAGCCAATTGACGTAACACGATTATTATATCATTAGAAATTTTATTGCCATTTGTGTATTATCGTTCATCGAAAAACTTGAGCTAGGCAAAGGCGTCCCATTCGAGAATGCAGAGAGGAAATTCTTGTACTATAAGTATCGAACATATGCACAGGCGGCGCGAATAGCAAGCTGCCTCGATGATTCGTTTCGTGTAAATTTTTTCACCAAAAGCATCGGGAAATAATAGATGCTTTGCTCAATAATTTGCTCAATACATACGAATCGCACTTATTAACCGGACGAATTAACGTATTTAATCCTTTGACCGTGACGTGATAATAAAGAGCAATGGCCGTGAATTGCCGAACGTTTAATTACCCGAAGAGCCGAAATGAACGTCCATTACAAAAGAATCCGAGTCCCCGAATCGATTTATCCGTCTTTCGATTGCTATCTTTCCTTTTGGCCGTACCGCCTACTTGGACACCTTCGTTGGCGAATTTGTTTTGTTATTGGCACTCCATTCGGGAAACTTACTGCGAAACTCGACACTTTGTCCAGGTTGGGGCAGATATTTGTTATGTCCTTAATGAGACCAGCCGTCGCTCGGCGCACGGCACTTATTTTTATAATGAACGCAGAAGGCATAGAGTACGTACTTTAACGCTATTTCTTCCTCCTTTGACTTATTACCCGCACCACGATCATAAATATTCAAATTGTTATTAATTTATTGCTCCGTGTACCTATAAAATAGCGCTTGAAAAATGTATGTAAAATAATAATCGTGAAGTAAATCATAAAGCTGGAGTAATCGAATGTATGGTAATTTATTTTTCCAGGACTTGGCGATGTTTTAGAAAGTCTGCCGCTCATCGGTTGTCCAGAATGCAAAATTTAATAATTTATCGTTGGTGGGGGTGGGGGGTGTTAAAATTTTCAGAAACCTGTTGTCTGACATTATCGCAACTTTCATGTACACCTTGCGATGTTTACCGAAATGTCACGGACCACGTCCTCGTATTATAAATTATACGATTCTCGTTAAGGAGTCGGCTTTATGTAGGATAATTGGCATGGAGTATAAATATGTAGCGTCTTTATTTGCGTAGGATACCCGGTACTCGAATGGTGTACCTTGGATTCTTACTTCACTTAACGCGTATCGTAAATGAAAATAATTATACACAATTAAATATATATCTATTAGCTCAGTGCCAACGTTGTGATTATATTATGGCTTTTGTTGATTTGTAAACGATAAAGCGATCGTCTTATTTATTAAAGCTAATTACAGTGCGTACAGAGAATAATAAGCACAACAGTAAAGAAAAAATGGCCAGCATAAAGAATAGAACTAATACGGTGAATCATTTCATCCGAGTATAAATCGCGAAGTGATTCATTCGGCATTTATTTGTAGCTGTTTACATTCTTATATAATCTTTTATAAGAACGTTGTATTATTCTCATTGTGAAAAACGTTAATTTACTTGTTAATAAACATCTCTGAGAATTTCCATCGCGAGCAGCGAGAAGCAAACTTACTGGACATAAAGAAGAGAGGGCGCGCGAGAGAAAGAGTGAAGCGAATTGGTGGTGAGGGGTAGCGAGAGAGATCAAAGGAAAGAAAACAACGGCATTCCAACACCACTGTGCGAAGCTTTATCAATCCACTTTTGTTCGACGGCGAGTAACTTAACTTTGCTTAAACGCAGATGAAAAAAGCGTTGAAAGCGTGACTCACGGGCCAACTTCCGCGAAAAGTGCAGACTCCCTTTTAGCCGAGTCAATGGCCCGCCGTGTCGAACGGCATCCATATCCATTCTTCGATGTAGCCGTGTGTCCCGAAGAAAAAACTCGGGGGCCGCGTGATAAATGCCGGTCTTTGGAATAAAAAAAAAAAAAAAAAAAAAAAAAAAAAAAAAAAAAAAATAAAGAAAAAAAAAAAAAAAAAAAAAAAAAAAACAACAACTAAGGAAAGAAAAGAGACAAAGAAAAAAAAAATGGCCGCCGATCCTTAGCGACGGCCATTGTACGCCGTGCCATTTATTACATATGCATTCACGCTTGTCTCGGCGCTAGCTATAAACGACTGAGGTGGCGCTGGTGGTGGTGGTGATAGTGGTGGTGATAGTAGTAGTAGTATCGGTGGTTGTAACGACGGCGACGGTGACGGCGGCGGCACATCCACGCCTATCCGATCCAAGGGCGACGCTATCCGTCCTTGCCCGCGGTGAATCGACGTCACCCTGCCCCTCGTACTTTGAATCCGCGTACCCACGATTATTGTGTCCACGTGTCGTTACCCTCGTTCGCGGCCTGACAGCCCTGCATTAAAGCCGACTACTGTAATGATACGTGCACTAGGTGGAGTCCCGCATGCGCAGCGTAATCAATGGAGTGCGGTGCGCGCGATTCCGCGATTTTCAGCGCCGATCGCTCGCCGATTATTGATACGACTCCCCTCATCTTCCTCACTCCATCGCCAGACCACCACTATACCATACCCAATCGCTCCCCTTTAATCGTCGTCTGACCAATGCTGCCGAGAAATCCCATCTCGCGTAGTCTTCGGGGAGAATCTCGTTCGAGTGGAGAGTTGCTTTTCGAGTAGACCTCGGGCCCTGTATTTTTCCGTAATTTTACATCGTCTCCGAAGTGCCGCTCGGCCACTTTTATTCAATTTAGTCCATGAATTTTTAGCTTATTTTGCGCGGCTCGCAGTGAGCGCGGCAATTTTTGATCCAACGTTAATATTGATTAGATTGTGAAAAAGCGCCAGCGTGAGAAGGAATGATACGGGGGAAGGCGAGATTTTTTACGCTGCGAAGATAAAATATTTTTATTTCGAGAATTTATCGGTTGTTGTTAAGTTCGGAACGCGGATTACACGAAGTATCGGCCGTCATTTGAATAAAGTTCAATGTCACTTTTTCCTTGAGGTGTCTCATAGAAGAAGCTAGAAACATTGGACGTCAGTAATGGTACAATGGCCATGAGTGCAAATAAAACGTAGAAAAGTAACCGTAAAGAAAGCGGGAAAGACGAGTGTCAGGAACGAGTGCGCGGATGCAGCTGTTAAATGCGAAAGGGAAAAACGCTTAAACGCGCCTCTTATATATATGCACGTTACATCCCGTTGGCAGAAGGTAGCGCGGGCAAAAACGTAATCCGAATACAAGTGGAGAGGGCGGATCGGGAGGATGAAAATGGAGCCGGCGCACCGGGACGCGTGGTTACGTCGTTATAGAGGGAGGACGCGGGTCAAGAGCATTTAAGGCGAGGTGAAATTTGAGAATACTACTGGCCATGGTTGTTGTGGCAAAAAGTCCAGGGTGGAGGTTGGGCGGGGAGAGAGAGAGAGAGAGAGAAAGAGAGAGAGAGAGAGACACAAGAAAAATATCGCGTCACTCTGACCCGTCGAGAGTATGCACCGCTAACAATAAAACGTATATTACATCGAGTAATTGCCCCTACGTACGTAGCCGAAGAAACGGACAATCAACGTTCAAGAGCGAA